GAATAAAGAAAGTATTTTCTCAACAAATGATACTGGCCTAACTGAATGTTAACCTGCAGAAGAGTGCAAATAAATCCATACCTATCATCCTGCACAAAACTCAAGTCCAAGTGAATAAAAGACCTTTACATAAAACCAGATACCCTGAACCCATTAGAAGAGAAAGTGGGGAATAGCCTTGAATGCATAGGCACAGGAGACAACTTCCTGAACAGAACACTGATAGTGCAGGCACCAAGATAATCAATTAATAAATGGGACCTCATGAAACTGAAAAGCTTTTGTAAGACTCTGTTGGGAGTGTAAACTTGTACAGCCACTATGGAAATCAATATGGTGGTTCCTCAGAAAGCTTGGAATCCATCTACCTCAGAATACAGCTATAACACTCTTGGGCATAGACTCAAAGGACACTCTACCCTACCACAAGGACACATACTCAACTGTGTCCACTGCTGCTCTATTCATAAAAGCCAGAAACTGAAAAAAAAAAAAAACCAAACCTAGAAGTCTTAGTGTGGGTTTCATTGCTGTGAAGAGATACCATGACCATAGCTCTTATAAAGTAAAACATTTAATTGGGGCTGGTCTACAATTTCAGAGGTTTAGTATGTTATCATCATGGTGAGAAGCATGGTGGCATGCAGGCAGACATGGTGCTGGAGAAATAGCTGAGAATTCTACAACTGGATCCACAGGCAGCTGGAAGGGATAGAGACACAAAAGGCCTGGCTGGAGCTTCCAAGCTCTCAAAGCCCATTTCCAGTGACACACTTTCTCCAATAAACCATACCTATTTCAGCAATACCTCCTAATTGTGCCAGTCCCTATAGACCTATGGGGGCCATTTTCATTCAAATCAAAACACTAGATGTCCCTCGACCATTTTATTCATAATAGCCAAAACCTGGAAACAACCTAGATGCCCCTCAACTGAAGAGTGGATAAGGAAAATGTGGTACATTTATACAATGGAGTATTACTTAGCTGTTTAAAAATGACACCATGAAATTTGCAGGAAAATGGATGGAACAAGAAAAAAATCATTGTGAGCAAGGCAACCCAGACCCAGAAAGACAAACATGATATGTACTCACATATAAGTGGATATTAGCTAGTTAAGTATAGGATAATCATGCCATAATCCATAGACCCAGAGAAGTTAAGTAACAAGGAGGTCTTTAAGGGGTATGTATGGCTTTCCCTAGGAAGAGGAAATATACATTTTTTCAGGTGGACTGGGAGCAGGTGGGGATGGGAACATGAAGGATCAGCCAGGTGGGGGCAGGATGGACTGGAACTGTGGGGTATTTGGGGAGGCAATGTGGAAACCTAGTGCAGTGGAAACTCCCTAGAATCTATGAGGGTGACCCTAATGAAGACTCCTAGCAATGAGGAATACGGAGCTTGAACTGGTCATCTGTAACCAGGCAAGGCTTGCAGCAGTGGAACTGTGAAACCACTCCAGCTACAAAATCTTTGACTTACAACTTGCCCTCCCAAGCCGGGCGGTGGTGGCGCACGCCTTTTATCCCAGCACTCGGGAGGCAGAGGCAGGCGGATCTTTGTGAGTTCGAGGCCAGCCTGGGCTACCAAGTGAGTTCCAGGAAAGGCGCAAAGCTACACAGAGAAACCCTGTCTCGAAAAAAAAAAAAAAAACAACTTGCCCTCCCTGCATGATGTGCTGATGTGCTGGGCTGAAGGTGGCATACCACTTGTAGGAGTGGCCAACCAATAACTGATCCAACTTCAGGCCTAAGTTACAAGATGAGGCCCACACATGATACTGCCTGCATGGCCTGGAACCAGAGGCTGGATTGCCCAGAGAACTAGGATAGAACCAAACATGACTGGCCAGAACAAAAGAAAATCAGTGAAGTGATTCCTCAAGATATTCTGCTATACTCATGGATCAGTCTAGAACAATTATCATCAAAGAGTCTTCTTCTGGCAACTGATAGGAGCAGATGCAGAGACCCACAGCCAAACATTAGGTGAAGAGGAGGTGGAAAGATTGTAGGAGCCAGAGTGGTTGAGGACAATTGGAGAACACGGCCCACAGAGTCAAATAACAGGGCTCATAAGGGCTCACAGAGACTGAAGTGGTAATCACAGACCCTGTGTAGGTCTGTCCTAGGTCTTCTGCATGTACATTATGGCTGTGCAGCTTGATCTTCTTGTTGGACTCCTAACAGTGGGAGTGAGGAGTGTCTCTGACTCTTTTGCCTGTAATTGAGACCCTTTTGCCTGTAATTGAGAACTTCTATTGGGTTGTCTCATCCAGCCTTAATATGAATGTTTGTCCCTTGTATTATTGTAACTTGTTATGTACTGCTTGGTTAATATTTCTTGGAGACCTGCTCTTTTCTGAAGGGAAACAGAGGAGGAGTGGATCTGAGGGAGAGGCAAACTGAGGTGGAGACAGGGAGGAGTTGAGTGAGTGGAAACTGTAGTCAGGATGTAATATATGAGAGAAGAAGAAATAATAATAATAACATTGTAAATATACACCTATACACCATATACATGGGAATGGAAAATGTAAAAATGTGTAAACATACATGTTTATGAGAATACTGAAAAACCGGAATCCTCAAAGTAGGTCTGCATCTTATTAGGGATGAGGATGAAGCTTGAGGATGAGGATATCAAATCTAGCCTAGCCTACAAATTGAGTTCAAGGCCAACCTGGAAATCTTATCACTCAAGTGAAGTGTCTAACATGTACAAGATATTTTATTAAAGTTGTATTTGTTTTTCTTTAATATTTCAATTATTTGATAATTTTGTATAATGTTTTGATCATATTCACCCCATTTCCCTCAACTCTTCCCAGATCCACCCATTCCCCACCCACCTAACTTCATGTTCTTTTTTTTTTTTTTTGCTTCTCCTAAATAATCCATTGATTCTAACCTGTGTTGCCCATATATGTGAAGAAGCATTTTATTTGGCCAAGAAATGATATAACAGTGATATAGTTTAAGGACTAAGGTAGTTTCAGTGAAGTGCATATGATCCACACTTTCAAATTCAGTAAGATGTGATGAGGGATTTGATGTTTAAAAAGAAAGTAGCATATGGATTGGTAGGGAAAGATCAATAAAAATCTTGGTCTTGTTTCTCACCAAGACAGAGATCATCTTTATACTTTGAAATTAAGAAAAACAGAGAAAATGTGTAAACAATAATTTGAAAGGCACTAGCCATGAGAAAGCAGAGATTGATCCCCTATTAAAATGGGAAACATGTGAAATGGGGTCTGTGATTGTCCTCCATTGTTTACTGACTTTAGACCATAGCTCATGAAGGAGGAATCCAGGCAGAGACCCTGTACTCTTTATAAATTTAAGAGATTAGGATAAGCATCTTGGTTTAGGAAAAGCACCACCTAAAAAGATAACAGGAAGCAGTGCCTTGCAACCACAAAAGTCCTCTAAGAGTATCTGTTCTGATAAAGGATACATGAGAAAGGTTGAATGAAACGATCATAAGCCAGAGTTACTGGAACTTTTCATCTAAAATATTGCAAGTGAGGGCCTGAGGAGATTTGTCGGGGATTGTTTCAGAGCAGTGGCTGCTGTTCCTGGATTTTCCCAGCACCCACATGACAATTCACAACCATTTGTCATAGGAGATCTAGCAGTCTTTTCTGGACTCCATGGACACCAGGCACACACATTATGCACAGACACAAATGCAGGCAAAATACCATACACATAAAATAAAATCATAACAATTAAAAAAGTAAAATACTGCAAGTGAGAAAACAGTACATCTACCCCTTCAAAGCACTAGTAGAAAAAAATCATACTATTGGCATAAAATTGTATATAATTTTATACAAAGAGAAAATATCTGTCTAAAAACAAGTCAAGGCCATGTGTGGTGGTACACACCTATAATTCCAGCCTTCTTGAAGAAGACTTTGATGCTGACCTGTTCTACAGAGTAAGTTTCAGGTTGTCTTAGTTAGGGTTTCTATTGCTATAAAGAGACACCATGATCATAGCAACTCTTATAAGGAAAAAATTTAATTGGAGGGTGTGGTTCACTTATAGTTTCAAAGGTTCAGTCCATTATCATCACGACAGTTTGCAGGCAGACATGGTGCTGGCTACACCTTGATCAGAAGGCAACAGGAAGTAGACTCCATGAAACAGTGAGGGAAGCATGAGCAAAAGAGACCTCAAAGCCCACTCCCACAATGACACACTTTCTCCCATAAGGCGATGCCTACTCCAAGAAGGAGAAACCTCCTAATAGTGCCACTCCCTTTAGGAGCCATTTTCTTTCAAACTGCCACACAGGCCAACCAGCACTAACTACACAGAAAAACTCTGTCTCAAAAGAAAGAGCTACCACAACAAAAGCTCACACAAAACAAAACAAAACAAAACAAACAAAAATTAAGCCAAAAGGCAGTAGGAGGAAGAAATGTAAGGCAGGCTGGTCTATATAATGAGGCATTGCTTTACTCTTCAGAAAGGGACAGATTCATCATCAGTAAGCAAGTAGTAGAGTACATGGTTCTCAAAATTTATTCTCAATAAATTTTCTAAAAATTTATTCTCAGTGCCACTCATGACAGTATCAAAAACATGAAATTTCTGGAAAAATCAAGGGGGGGGGGCATTGTGACAGACATACACTAAAAATGACAAAATAAAACCAAGACAAATAAAAGAACACATATACAGATGGAGAAATACCTTTTTATAAGTCACAAAATCCAGTTGTTGAAATGAAAGTATATGTATACATAAAGTAAATACAATATTCATAGAAGAATTCTCTAAAAGTCCAAGAAGGAAACAGTTGGAAAGTCCACCCCTAGTCCAGTGGAGCTAAGAAGTGTATTTAGTTCTTGGCCCAAAGAAAAATGGAAGGAGCCATTGAGGTCAGAGGAGGGGGACGGGGTGTGAGAGGAATGGCGTAGGATACTTGGTTTTGCCCATTGGAATTTCAGCCACATAGTCCTTGTTTCTTAGCAACCTGAGTAGACCCAGGAAAACAATCCCTTGAGGCTAAGACAGTTGCCTCAGACCCAGGGGTACCATGGGCGAGCAGTGGATACCATGGAATCGCCCCCGGCAGGTACTTCAGCCAATGCCTCTGGGCATGACCTGCAAGCCCTGGTTCAAGGACAGACTGCCTTCTAAGTGTTTAGCGAAGCACAAACAAGAAAAACTGAAGTTCCCTACTTCTCTGGATGGACGGCGCTGGGTGTTCGTGAAGGAAGGGCTAGACGATTTCAGGAAGGGCTGTCCACCTTGTGAAGGTATGATCCTTCGTGGCTCCAAAGAGGGCTTTCTCCCCACAATTTCTCATCGAGTCAGGCGCAAGTCCAGGAAGAGTCAGAAAAAGCAGGGCCGGGAGTTGATGCTGGTTTCCCCGCTGTCGCTGGCCCAGCAAGAGCGGAAGTTCTTTGTGGAGAGAACCGAAGCAAACCTGACCCAGCATCCCTTGACTTTCTGGCCCCTGGAGGAAGGAATTCCTGAAAATCTCTTATTAAATGTGATGGAAACGCTTGACCCTGAGCGGGAGTTGGAGGAGAAGTGGGATTTTTGTGAGGGCCAGAGAAAATCGATCGATCTGCCTGTCGTTGCAGACAAATACCCTCAAAAAAAAATTGAACAGGATCCTCCCAAGTTTCCTGGATCACGCAAATACGGTGTGCTTCATGAAAACAAGCCCCAAAAACAGGAGACTGAGGAGTCTTTTTATTACCGGTACATACCCAAAGGAGTCTATGACTTCTGTGAATGGGTTGACTCATTCGGAGACTTGGGCATTGACGAAGATTTCATGATGAAGCAATTTGACATTGGCTATGAGTGCAAACCGAGCTATGGAGACTCTGCCATCAAGAAAATCAGCGTGCTTCCTTCTGAGCTCAAGTACTGCAGGAGGCTGAGCAGAGTGAAGGAGATCAGATTCTCCATACAGGAGTCTAACTTTGAAAGAAAACTCCGAAAACCACTTGATCCTTACAAGCCCACCAGGGATAAGATTAGATATGGAGCATGGTACCTGAAGCCTGGTCTGTGGAAAAAGCTAGTAAATGATGAGCCTTTGATGGATCCTGACTACTTACTTGAACTTGAAGGTGGAAGGTTTGGTAAACCAGACATCATTGAAGACCTTTATGGAACAATTGCCTTTAAGGATTTCATCATAAGCAAAGGCTATGATATGCCAGGCATCCTTGAGAAGCTGTTTATGAGGAAAGGATGGGACTACCAAACTGTCAACACTCCAATACCAAGAGTACTAAGAGCACATGAATTGATCATGCAGAGAAAGGATGAAGATTATGATGATGAAAATGACTAGGTGGTTTTCCATTTTACTTACTTGACTTTATTCTGTTCTCATTTCAAATAGTGAACAGAATATATATGAAGATATCACCATATGTGAACATCTTTTTGGACAATATCAATGTTAGACTTAATACTTATAAACATTTCTCAATGAACTAAAATATACTTCTGCTATGCCTGAACCAACATTTTATCAATTACAAGATCAACATTCATATGCACAGTTCTCAAATTTATTTACTATTGAGAATATGGCATTCTTACATCAGTTACTTATAAGAATATGTAAAGACAATAATAAAAGCAAAGCAGAATTACTCTTTAGATTCAGTGACATCAATTACAAGATAAATCTTAAAACATTGGAATTGTTCGTATAAAATAAGAGAAAACTTCCATAGCTTCAGCTAAATGAAAAATTTAAAGAAATAATTATTGAAGGAGATCCCTCCTCCCGAATGGGGGCTTCCTCCTGGACCTCGGATTAGGCACAAATCACACCCAAACACCAGTTTTCGCAGAGAGATCCTTTATTAAGTGGAGAAGAAAAGTTAAAGTGGCTGCTTTCTGACTCAGGCAGGAAAACAGCAGCAAGCAAATGACCTTGCAGGTGTAATTTAACAGCAGAAAAGGGGGAGGTCTGTGTTAGAATGGGTTAGGGTGCGGTGGTGAAGGAGATAGGTGACCAAGGAGAAGGGGAAGGGGACAAGGGAAAGGGGTGTTTATTCCAGAGGGACAAAGGACATAGGAAAATGGCAGTTTCTAAAGGTACGAGGGGAAACCCTGTGTTAGGATGATGCATTTAATTTTAATTGGGCATGCTAATTAGACATTTACTAACTGGGCATGTTAATTAGAACAGCAAAAGTTGGCTTCTGATTGCTGGACTTCAATACTTTGGTAGCTGGACTTTGGTAGTCAGCCTCAGGAGGAGAAAGTGGACAAATCAGAGAATAGACCTTGGTGACTAGTTTTAGGAATGTCATCTAACACTTTCTAGCAAGGCAGAGGGAATGGGAGAGAAGGGCCAGGCCTTCCAGAGCCACATGCTCAAGTTGGCTAGTGTCCTTTCAATTTTAGTGATTATTTTTTAACCAAACTTGAAGCTACAGCTAAAATAATGAGTCTTATTGTTTCTAGTTTGATACTTTTAAGAAAAGTTTTACTTCAGTTTTAGTCATATAAATGACTATGACATATGAGTGTGTTTGTGCAAGTATATGCCACATGGGTGGGTGCCCAAGAAGATCAAAGGTATCATATGCTTGGAGCTGGAGTTACAAGGGATTGTGAACCATCTGATGTGAGTTCTAGGACTCAAATTCTGGAAGAATAATACTCTTTTAAATGATGAGTCATCTGTCCAGTCCCACAGTCTTGATACTTTTAAGATGTAACATTTAAAGATTTTAGTTTTAAGTTAATTTTGTTAAAGATTTTAGGTAGGTTTAAGTTCATTTTCAACCTTTTATATCCACAAACACTCATAGCACATTTTAAAATCAATGAATATTTTCTATTTGTATGTGTATGGTGGTAAAGCTTAATATTTAGTATTTTCAGTATTAAAATCATTTCCAGAAAGTTTATAGATTTGCAAATATTTGGCCTTCTTACTCTTAATTTTCTTTTCCTATGCAGAAGTTTTTTGTTGTTGTTCATTTGGTTTTTGTCTGCCTTGCTTTTTGAATTGATAGGCCATGGTTTATCATGTCATATCTAAGAAGTTAACTCTCATACCAATATCAGGAAGATTTTTTCCTATGTTATTCTTTTTCATACTGGTAGTATTAATGATCTCAGGTGTCATGTCTTTAATCCATTTTATGTTCCTATTTTCCCTTGTTGTGACAAAATTCCTAGTAACTAGAATGTGAAGAAAACAAATTGAATGATGGGTACATATTTGGTGAAAGAAGGGACAAAGAGAAACTATTTTAGAATATAAGTGTTCTATATTTCCTCACATTTTAGCAACCCAAATGCATTCTATCCTTCATCTTCTTAGATTAAAACCTAGGAAATTCTCCCTGTCACTGGTGATTTCTGCTTCCCCAAAAGTCTTTTCCTGAGTGATCAGAATTTATGGAAGTTTCCTAAATTAGATTATGTGCTTTTATCATCATTTTTACTCAAGTATAAAAAAGGTTTGTGTTTCAGGTGTTTTGTTGTTGTTGCTGTTGTCTTCTTTTCCCCCAAGACACAGTCTCACTATGTAGCTCTGCCTGTCCTGGAACTCACAATGTAATCCAGACTGGCCTTGAACTCACAAAGCTCTTCCTGCTTCAGATGTCCAAGTGCTGGGATTAAAGGCTTGTGCCACTTTGCCTGGCTCAGCTAGGGCAGTAAGTATGTTAATCCTCTCCTTCATCTTCAAACATATCATCTCAATTTCGGATAGCCGTTCACATATTTCAAGAGAGCTGTATGGATTTCCTTGAAAATTAAGTTTCAGGTAAATGTAACAGTAGATAAAAATGTGTCAGCTGTCAGTGACTCACTGGAAGAAATGTGATATTCAACAAAGGTGAGAAAGGGGTAAAATATATAAAATTATATTTTACCAAAAATATAATTAAAAGCTAGATCTTTTTTTTCTTTTGTAACAATTCATTGAACATATAGCACTGCATTCTGGAAAGAAACATATTTCAGTGAGTACTTACATTTTCATTGTGGTTATGAGACCTTGAACTTCATAGAGACTGTTGCTTTGTGTATAAAATGAAAATCACACTTCTCATCAAAATTAAAAGTAATTTTGATGAGAATGAATGGAGTTTTCAGAGTTGCCTGATGCTAATGACATTATAGAGCTGACAGTATACATTTATAAAAGAGGAGGGAAACAGGACGAGGAGAGGGCTATGCAATGGCCCAAAGGAAATATGGTAATGGAGGAAAGGAAATCTTTCATAAATTTAATCCAGTGTGATAATCTGTAATTTTCTTATATGCAATCTGTGTTGGTAATGCAGCTAGCTGTGTAGTTGGTTCTGCTCTTGCACCTGTCCCTGCTAGGCTTGTTTTTCCCAAAGTTGGGGTTGGGGCAGGTAAGAGTAGAAATGACTTCAAGGAAAAGGACAGGTGCTCTTGGGAAGATAATGCAGCAAAGTTTCTGTGAAATGTGATCACATAGCACACTGTGTGTGACTGTAAGTTGTCCTTGAGACTGAACAGCATCATTGCCCCCCCATACATCCTACTTCACATGGCCCATACAATAAGGCAGGGTGGCAGAAACTGGACACTCAAGGTATTGGCAGGAGCAACAGTGACTGTGGGATCCTGATTTTTTAATGAAATCCAAGCCTGGCTAGATGTGACTCTATAACCAAGAGGACTTCAAGAAGCTGGAGACATGTCTGTATTCAGAGCCAACAGCATATGAAGTGTTGTGGATGACTAGTATGTATACCCAAACTAGGGGATTTTCCCAAGAGGGAGGAATAAAGGCTAAGAGCAAGTTGGATATGCTGATGTGAGGCAAAGTGAAATTAGGTAAATGGATTAGTTACTTTTCTGTTGCTATGATGAAATGCCATGCCCAAAAGTGACTAATGGAAGAATTTATTTTGGTTTATGATTTTGGAGTGAGAATTCACGAGAATGAGGGGAATGCATGGCAGCAGGTAGCTGTAGCATGAAGCTGAGAGGTCATATCTTTTACCAAAAACACAAAGGGGGGAGTGGGGGAGGGAAGAAAAAGAGAGAAAATATTGGGAGTGGGGTGAAGCTATAAATTCTCAAAGCCCGACCCCTCATGATTCACTTCTTCCTGTAACGCTGCACTTACCACCCCAAACAGTACCACGGAGGATAATGTGTTTAAGTATATGAGCCTATGGGGGACATTTCCTTCAAACTACAACTTTCTACTCCCTGGTCCCCATAGGCTCACGACCATATCATAGTGCAAAATGAATTAAGTTTAACTTTAATAATCCCTATAGTCTTTCACAGTCTCAACACTCTAAAAGTTCAAAGTCCAAAGTCTCTTCTAAGTCTCAAGGCAATCTCTTAAGTGTGACCTCCTTTAAAATAAAGTAAAATAAAATAAAAAAGCAAATAAAATATTCCAACATACAATGGCACTGCTCCACAGTTGGAAATTATATCACCAGAACTAGCCATTATAGAAAAATCCAATCCTATGGACCATGAAAATAACATTAAATGCTAAGCAAGTGATGACAGATACATTAAAAAACAATCAAATTAACCTCTCTATTTTTTAATTTATTAATTTGTTTCATCTGATTTTGTGTAAGTAGTTGTATGAGCACATGTATGAGTATTTATTAGTAGGTTTTCTGTAGCCCGATAACAGGTTTCTCCATTGATGCAGTAAGCCAGGTCAAGCGAAATTGGAAAAAAAAAAATAAAAGAACAAATTTTTCTGTGCAAAGCAATTCCTGGTGAGTTCTCCAGTCCCAGAGATTGAGACTGGAGAAGTCCCAGGCATGAACTAAAGCAGGGAGGTTATATAGCCTGTAAGACATGGGTTATGACGTGCCTGCCACAAGCTGGGCTAGTGCCCAAGTATGGTCAAAAACTTAATGCTTTAGGTGGAGTCTTGGGCTGCTGGCAGCTTCAGAGGAGGAGCTGCAGAACTGAGCTTTTTGGCACCTTTTCTTTGTTGGAGATTCTGAGAGGATGGGGCTTGGAGAGAGATGGGGCTTCTCAGACCCTGCAGGCTTTGTGTCAATATAGCCACTAACTTTAAATAATCATGAGCTATTAGATACTTTAAGTAGAATTAAGAATTATAAATGTGACCTAAATGTTGTATCATGGGATGTCTTGAATACAATATGGCTCATTTATTGAAAAGATGAACACATCCTAAGTTTTCATATTGTACATTTATCTTAAAAAATGATTATTTATGTATTTATTTGTTGTTTATGTGTATGGGTGTTTTGCCTGCATATATGTATGTGTACCATGTAGATACAGTGTCTACAGAGGTCAGAAGAAAATATCAGAACCCCCAAACATTAGAGTTACAGACAGTTGTGAGCTGTCATGTGGGTGCTAGGAACCAATTGCTGTCCTCTTCAGAAGCATCAAGTAGTCTTAACTACTGAGCCATCTCGCCACACTTCATATTGTACTTTTTAACAATATTATGATTTTTTTATAAATTTAACAACTGTTGTGGAATATTACTTTAACTATGTAAAAATGTGTTACATTTGTTTATGCTGTATTTGTTTTACAATGTAAAGATGTGCTGCTTTGCCTGTCTAAGGCACCTGATTTTTCTAATAAAGAGCTGAACAGCCAATA